GACATGACACTGTTCATTAAAATATAATTTCTTGGAGGGCTATAGGGCTAAAGAGAGCCCTTAAAGAAATTATATATTTAATGAATAGTGTCAGACTATATTTCATATCATCTCCAACTGAGGGGGCCAAAGGGCTATAGGCCAAACATAGCTTTTTGACAAAAAACCATCTCCAACCGAGGGGCCAAAAAGGGTCATAGGCCAAGCATAAATTATTATTTTAATTGAATTAATATGATTAATTTAATTAAACTACCATATTAAAATAAAATTTTCGGACATATTGAAAGATTATTGAAAGAGGTGGTGTAAGATCCCACATCGCCCAGGGGAGTGATCCTTAAATGTATATTCCCATCTCTACCTAGCACGAGGCCTTTTGGGAGCTCACTGGCTTCAGGTTCCGTAGGAACTCTGAAGTTAAGCGAGAAGGGGCCAGAGCAATCCCATGATGGGTAACCCACTGGGAAATTGCTCGTGAGTTCCCAAAAACAAAACCGTGAGGGAATGGTAAGCCCAAAGCGGACAATATCGTGCTACGGTGGTGGAGCGGGCTCGGGAAGTGATCCGTCTCGGGCCGGGATGTGACAATTTGGTATCAGAGCCTAGCCTTGGCCGTGGTGTGCCGATGAGGACGTCGGGCCCCTAAAGGGGGTGGATTGTAAGATCCTACATCGCCCATGGGAGTGATCCTTAAATGTATATTCTCATCTCTACCTAGCACGAGGCCTTTTGGGAGCTCACTGGCTTCGGGTTCCGTAAGAACTTTGAAGTTAAGCGAGAATGGGGCTAGAGCACTCCCATGATGGGTGACCCACTGGGAAGTTGCTCGTGAGTTCCCAAAAACAAAACCGTGAGAGAATGGTAAGCCCAAAGCGGACAATATCGTGCTACGGTGGTGGAGCGGGCCCGGGAAGTTATCCGCCCCGAGCCGGGATGTGACAGGTGGCCATTTGAAAATTATTGAAAAAATTAAAGGAAAGATTATTGGAAGAGAATAAAATGTGGAGAATTGAAATAAAATGAGGTAAGATAGTATGAAATGATGAAAAGTATATGAGAAATAGTGTAGGAAAAAAATAAGATTTTTAAAATAAAAAAAATAAAAGAAAAAAAGTGGGCTGGGCTCATCAGCTTAGCTGGACATGGTTAGTCCGTTGGCCTGATTTGGTGGTTTTGGCCCAATGGGTCACAAGTCCTTTGGCCTAATCCTTGATTGGAGACGTTTTTCGTGTCATTTTTGGCTATTTTTAGCCCTATGGCCCTCTGGCCAGATCAGTTGAAGATGGTTTTAGGGCTCTAGTTTTCTTTGATAGTTGTTGGACTGGATCTATAGAGTTTTTGCATAATATAATATAAAACACGTTTCGTATATGTAATAAGTCAACCAATATTATCTGTCAAGTTTTTTAATACAAAGATATAGTTACACTATGGTGGAATAAATTAGTTTCGAACTTACTATTCACGAAATTAGAATTCAAGATCTCTCACTAACAAATGAAGGAAAATATCATTAAAATATTATCAACAAAGTTATGCACTTAAAAGTTCACATATATGGCTAGCAAAAAAAAAAAAAGCTAGCAATATGCTCATGCAATTTGTTCTTCAATTAGTACATGTGTTTATTATATATATATATATATATATATTATCAAAAGGATATAAGTTTATATAGATGTATGCATGCGAGAGTAATCCCATCGCCAAGTGATCATTTGGCTTATAATTGAAATTTCCATGTGCTCACGTATGTTTAGTATGGTTGAAAATTTGAAATCTTGAACTAATTATAAATGCTAATGGTGTCTTCTAAAATTACTTTTTTTTATTATTATTTTATTTTTATATATAGAAAAACATTGAAAACTAAGGGAAGAACAAGAAATTGAGGTAACGTACTCTATTATTTCATAGTTGTACCTGCAGGCTGTATCAATCAGAATTGCACATGATCATGATCCATGCCTAATCCCGTTTATAATTCGTTCATGTCTCTGAATTAGTTGGGGGAGATAAACTAAGGACACTACGAGTAAACATGGATTACATGACGATAGAAATTCATCACATTTGATTATATGTGACCCATTTTCAATGTCATCAACGTCACCTATAATTCATGTAACGAATTCTAAAATCGCCACATATTTTTTGCATATGTGGCGCATTCGTTACTTAATAACTGTATGTGTACGCAACAAATTAAGCGTCACAAAACATAAAGGTCAATGACCTATAATTTCGTCACCTATCAAATATATAAGTGATGAATTTATCGTCATCCAATCTCAAAAACTGTTTCAACTTAGTTGAAATTTGTAAATTATGATTGGTGGGAAATCTTCTTTTTTATTTATTAATAACCACATGTATGAAAGAAAAAAAAAAGACCATTAGCTAGGTTGCATCTAGGAACAATTTTTATTTTCGTTCTCAATAACTACTGTTTACGTTTTTAAACTTCTCTCAGATTCTTATTTGGTTGGCTTCATCATCGATAATGCCTCAACATTATCGGTAGAATGACTTGATGTGCATCACTTGTTTGCCAATAAATTTTGTGCATCTCTGGTTATACATCTGTTATATTTATCATTACTGACAGATTTGTTTCATGTGATAGCCATATACAGATGTGTTTAACCATCTTTGTTGTGCCCTCAAATCAAAGAATTGATCACTTAAATAGGTGTACCATGTTGACACCTCTTGTAACTTTTTGTTCCTCAATAAATTTTTTTTATCGATCAGATACTTTTTAGGATGAGAATTATTGAACATAATGTCTCTACGACCGATCATTCAGAGATGTACAAAATTTTGTATATAGGGTAATGTTAGGGAGATTAAATTTGTAGACAAAATTACCAAATGACATGTAAGTTGATGATTGGAGTATTACTTAAATGTTAATTAACGTGTTTATTTTTTATTAGTTAACCGATCTCTGTTTTGACTGTGCAAATGGTGTGGGAATTAAGAAAATATCTCTAACAGAAAAAAAAAAAAAAAAAAAACGATACCGTGTGGTTTGGGATATCAGATGATTCAGATTGCATGGCATGCTTGGAAAAAGTTTGGAGAAATTAATTAAAAGAATTGCATGCTCTCAAGCTAGCTCAGAGGATGTGGATGTGGTCAACACTTGCAGATCGATCTTATCTACTGAGCAAGCTGGCATGCTTCATAAATTAAACCACCAACCATGCATCGATCCCATTCCCATTCACACTGCATGGAGACGGAGATAATAAAACTCAAAAATTTGAACAGTAATTAAAAGATACCGACTAATCACGTTAACGTTATCGACAAATTGTATTATTTGATCACAAAAGACTTCAGTACAATTAGAAGTAGAACTATTCGTTATAGATATTGTATTTTATCCCGTTAGTTTTCTAATGTGAGACTTTTGTAATTTTCAAGACTTTCAGCATGTATGGCAATCTAAACATATATGTATCACGAAGTTTACCAAATAGTTTGTGTCATGCAGTGTCGTTCTTAATTAATTATATATTTACTTTCTTACTGCCTAGGCTTATACTGTTATACAGTCTCATGTAATTATTCTAATCACCACCCTAAAAAGTAAAGGAGAAATCTTAATTAAAGGTAATTACAGGATGTCTTATTTGTTTTTTTTTTCTTTCTATTGTTTGGTTTCCAGAAAAAAGTAGAGCATGACACATTGAAAGTTAGGAATTAATGAGCACTGTTTCTGCAAAGGAATCCGAGGTTTTGTGTTTAAGTACGGTACGAGATGAGGTACTACGGAAAATCAGATCTGCCATTGCAAATGAAATTAATTAAAGTTGCTAATAACTAGGTTTGTGATGTGCATATGGATCACATGGAAATAATGATAACTATGTCTTAAGTCTTCATGACAAGCTGTATGATTTCCAGCAATTTGCTCAGAATACTAGCTGGCTCTGCAGTGCCTGCTCATGGAGAAGGTTCTGGGGGATTTGGATCATTTCCTGAGCTCAAGGTGAGGATCATCCTGATTAAAGAGTATGGGTCGTTGAATGAAACGATTATAATTATTATAATTTTAAAGGGATTCTTCTGTTTGTAACCGTTGAATTTTCATCCAACGATCCACATTCCTTGATCAAAAGGATCCTCATCTTGGACTCAGGAAAGGATCCAATTCCGGTTTTGGGTGTGGCTACCGTTGGTTGGTGGGCCACCATTCTATGTTGTGTGAGAGAGGGTGAAACATAAATGGAGCCGGATGAATATGACAAAATAAGGCGGGTGGGGGGTTATGGGTGATTTTGTATGTGTCAATATGGGCATCTGATCTGGTCTTCGGACTGAAGAGTTCTTTATAAATTTTTTTCTTTTTTTTTTCGGAACACTACTCCTTGCTGGTAAGGAGTCATTGACGTATGTACGGATGTACCAAATCGACTTCTTATAGAAACAAAAAGAAAAATTTATGTACGTGTCAAACTACGAGGATGAAAATGCTCTTATACATATAATGAGCAAAGTATTCTACTTTTGTTGCGTGATAACATGAATTAGGGTTTTGAATGTGCAGATCTAATTACTATTGCATAAATATAAGGAAAACTAATGACAATAGTTTGAAAACTTTGAGTTTTAACGATAAAGACAAAATAAAAAGTAAAGTAAATAGTACTAGGATTGACTTTTTAGTGTAAAAATATAATTTTTCGTTAAAGTGAATAATACCGAGAAGTTTTCGTTAAAGTTTCCTAAATATAATTCTCATCCATGAGAAATTATTGCATAGGGCCTGCCCTATATGGCCTACCTTTTAAATTTAATGTCTTCCAAACATGAACAGCACAACGCAGCCCAAATGTCCAGCCCCAAAATGCAACTGGCGCACATATAATTTCTCCCGTTATTGTTTCCTCTTTTTCCTTAGTATTAAGGTTTTCCTCTTCAACTTATTGTATCTTGAATTTGAACCCTCCCCCACCCCTCATTGTAGTTTAGAGTACGAAAATCGATTGTATTCAAATGATAAACAAAATCTATTAACAAAGTTGTATAAATACAAAGTTGTGGACAAGTTGTCCATTGCATAAAATACAAACCCTACAAATTACACAAGCATTTCTTTTTTAAGATTTTCCGAGTGACAAAACCACCATGATAAGCATCCCTGTAATCTCGGGTATGTTTTCAGCAACCGCATCAAGCAGATTGAAGGGAAAAACATATCCGCAGGAGGCGTTGGGTCAAATTGAATCGTCGGATTCATCAGAGTCACTTCTATCGGGATCCCCAGCATTTGTAGCTGCCTCTGGAACATCAGGTTGTGATACAGGTTCTTCAACAGGCTTTTTACTTGCATTACGAGCATTTCCATCTCCATCCTTTTCTTGCTCAGCTGCTTCAACATGTGAGCCCACTCAATTAAGGATAAGCAAAACAGACCATGCAGACAGTGCACATATGAAACATATGTACTAATCTAGTGTGTCGCAACAAGACATGGTCGAATCCTTCATTCACGGATTGGAAAAGAAATTTCTCCATTGACAATCCAAATGTGTCACATGCTTTGACATAACAATCTCAAATTTGTAACCTAAACAACATGAGAACATTAAAAGAAGTATCATCGAAAAAAGAAAATAACGGAGCAGTAAAACGCATGTCAGCAATTTAAGTAGCCTCAAACATCAGAAAATGGCATTCAATCAGGCTTAAGACTAGAACCAATAGCAGTGGGGATCCTATTTCACACTTGACAGAAGAATTCTATATTGCCTTTTGCACAAAATGATAACAAGAAAACAATGAAACATAATCTGTGAGGATATCAATATTATCAGCTGGTCCGCTAGTACTAATATTCAGTAGATCTTCCTCAACACGCCGGACAATCTCAGGCTGGAAAAATGCAAGAAAATTGCAATCAGTAAAAGCATCCAGGTATGAAAGGACATCGCAATAAGATAAAGCTGAAAAAAATTCCAATGTAAAGAGGCTAATGATACATTTAGATCAGGCTCCCTGCGAAATCTTCGCTTTCGAGCATCCCTCATTGGAGGGGTGAGACCATGCCTGTACTCCACTGTATCTGGAGCTGGATCACTCGGATCCCTAACCATAATCATCTGTTAAAATCGCAAATGTTCGGATAAATCTTTTAGAAATCAAGCATTGATATATTTAACTGATTAAATAGTGATAAACAAGACACACCTGACCAATGTCTGCAGTCTTAATTAACACGCTATCATCATATGTTTTGAAGGACTCCACAACACAAGGAAGATCAAACAGTGATGCAGGGAAACGGTCATTGCCAATGACAAATGTGCCAGTCCTACCATCCTCTGGAAGATATTTCAAGCTTACAAGTGAAACATTCGGTGAAACAGGGTAAAAAAACAAGTATTAAACAGATATACTAGAATTCTTGTTGTTACTTGTTCATCACGACTTGTGCCATGTCCATAAAACATACTAGAAACAAAAGTTGATCAGGAAACTGTTTTCAAAAAAAAAGAGCTACAGTGATAAGAAGGCAAAAGATTGAATAAGGGCAGGTTCCTGAATGTGGAGAATGAATTTGACTTATTTATTTACATTTTTCTTTCCACACATGCCAAAATACTATAACTTCAAAAACCCTTGAACGAATCTCACATATCTGCTCAAACTAAACCCAAAAGGTGTATGATACATGGCATGAATCTGCATTGTACTAAAAATGTTCACGAGTTCAGAGAAAAGATTAACACAACCAGGCATCACGCAAATCACGACTAAGCATCACATATCACAATACAATACATACCAGATGGCTGTCAAATGCCACCGTCAAAACTACAAGATAACTAAGAGCTTCAAACCAATATAGCATTCTTTTTGACAAACCTAGGGCTTGATTGGGACTGCTCCCTGTAAGAGCTAAAGCGCTTCCTAACTTAGTAGTGTTTGTGCGTTGTAGAATCACCTTCTGGGGAAAGCAAGTTCTTTTCCAAGAACTTGGAATTCTAATAACAATTTTGACTTGTTTATTATAAAAGCGCTTCCTAAAATGCGCTTGTGAGCAAAAGTGCTTCTTACCCATCAAATCAAACCCCCAAGACAACCTCTAAGGAAGCCGCTTAATAACAAACATCTTAATCCTTAAACACTAATTAATCCTTAAACAACTAATCTAACACTGACGGCGGACAGTTGAAGCTCACCTGCGGCTAATCTCACAAAATCTATCGTTTGCCAAAAAAAAACAAAAACAAAAAAAAACAAAAAATCCTTAAAACACTGATTAAATACATATCAGTTGGCCCTAATTCATATCAACTGGCCCTCGTTAACAAAACGCATTCAATACAACAGATTAATTTACGACTAATTGATACCAAAACGCAATTCAATCCAGCAAAAGGGAGTTTCTTTCTGACCTTCGAATGACAAATCCAACGACTTGTCGTCGGTAGAAGCGTTTTCGCCCAGAAGGCGGTCCAGTCGCTCTGCAACAGAAGGTGGGACTCTGAGCACGAACTGCTCCTCCATCACTGCGACAAAACGGCACCGGATCAGCATGAATTACGAGCACAAAAACAGAAACGAAACCCTAGATGAGAAGTAAACGACAATGAATTCAGAAATTCAATCCTAAGTTCGGTGCCTGAGAGATTACCTGAGAGAAAATCAACGTCAGAAGGAAAGAAATGGGACTGCTCTGCACCTGGCTCCTGTACGATCAATAAGGATGAAGGAGATTATGAAACGGAGAATTTGAGAAGGGTATTTTTGGAATAAAAATATTTAAGAAAAACTGGTAAAATACTCAAAATACAAGGGCCCCGTTTAAGGGCTTTAGGTGCGTTGATGTCTATAAAAATAAAAAACAAGAATCGTGCTTTTGATTTGTATGATATTATATAAGGTCCCAGGTATTTTTGTTAAAGCGAATTTAAATTGTATAATTATTAGTGTAGATAATATTATTTGTTAAAAAAAACACTTGTCAAATTTTTTTTTCTCATTTTATAATTAGTTATTTTTTCTATCATTTTGTTATATAGACATCAAAATCATAACATCAATATATTGAACTAAAATAATAAAAATCACTCTTATTGCAATCATTTTGAACACCGTTTGATTCTTATATTAGTAGTATTACACTCAATTTTTTTAAATTGAAATTTTCAAGTAAAATTTTATGACAGAAAAATCATTGATTTTCATATGGGATTACAATTTGAGTGACTAGTGACCTCTTGAATGCCCCTTTACAAAGAATGATAAAAAAGCTCCTCTATGATCAATAATTAGAGAAATTAATGGAAAAATGAATAAATACTTCAATCCGTACCGACTTGATTTTGTTGCACTGACAACAACGCATACATGAATCATTTATTTTTAAAAATGTGATATTTACACACCTTATTTTATTCATCCCTTATTAATTCACTGTCGATTGTCGATTGTTAGTTGATTTGAGTCATCTAACTAGAGACGGAATGTGAAAACAAGAAAGGGAGTGTGAACGAAGAATTTTAAATGAAGGGGTATTGTTGGGATAAAAGCTATAGAAGAAAACGGGGAGCATGGCAAAGCACGCGCGGCTTGGGTTTCGTTAATTGGTTAACCCCAGACACTTTTAAATAAACGACTACGGATAACATCTTCTGTAAACTTCTTACACCTCTATCGACGCCGTGCCTGGGCGTTTTCAGAACCGAAGCAAGACCAGAGCACCGCTGTCGAGTTCCTCAACCGCAATCCATCCTCTCCGATTCTCCGCCTTCAGGTCTCTCTCTCTCTCTCTCTCTCTCTCTCGTTCAATACTTTTACACATTGTTAGGGTTAGGGTTAGGGTTCGGGAGTTTATGCTGTCAGGGTTTCTGTAATCGCAAGGAGTTTTGTCAAATTGGTAACTTTTCTCTCCAGTATATGGTTCTAATTCGTGATTAATGCAGGCAATTTCAATTTCGATTTCAGTTTTTGAAGAAAAGATCTAAGTAAAAATTGGGGTTTTTTTCTTCTTGGAATTGCTGTTCTTGTAGTAATTTTTTAATGCATAGCCGGGCTCGAAAGTTTGGATGTTTTTGCCTGAAAATTTTATTTCTTGATAGTAGGACTTATAGATTAGTGGAGAACTTTTTTCTTTGGTGTTTCTAATGAATTTTTGAAAAATTTCAGAAGGTTTCTGACAGTTATATAATGAGGGGACGGAGTTACAGTCCATCACCACCTCCACCACCCCCAAGGGGAGGATATGGTAGGAGGGGACAACGAAGTCCTAGCCCCAGGGGTCGCTATAGCGGTGGTCGCGGTAGTGGTAGAGATCTTCCTACAAGTCTTCTAGTTCGTAACCTTCGCCATGATTGCAGGTTTGTTGTTGTTAACCCATATGTCATCTCTTTTTTTGGTCGAATGGTCAAATTGCATCGCAAATTTTGCGTAAGGTAGTGTGTTGGCTGTTTTAAAGGGGAAAGCATGAAAAGGGCAAGTTATTTGAACTTATGAATTAATGAGCTGTTGTCGTTTTATGTGTTTTATCACAGGCCAGAAGATCTCCGCAGGCCATTTGGGCAATTTGGCGTGCTTAAGGACATCTACCTGCCAAAGGATTACTATACTGGGTGAGCATATCAGAGTAACATTGGTCGAATATCTTGTTGAGATAATAATTTTGTTTTTCTGTATATGTTAAACTATTTATTTTGTGTACAGTGTACGTATACTTCACCTTATGAGTAGAAATTTAGAGTTTTCTGCTTGCTTATTTTTCATGATTTCTGAAACTATGGCATGATTTGACAAGCTTTTGCTACACTGGTTTAGCAAATTTAGTTTAAGTTTAGATATATGTAGATGTAATCACTAGGGTTGAACTTCTCTTGCACGTACTTGCTATGATGGCTTTTTGCATGCTTCTGTGCCCACATTTTATTTTAAAGAAAAGCATAGCTTTTGAGAACATGTTCAATGCTATTTTCATTATTTTCTAAAGGAATCAATTCAATATTGGAATACCTACCAGACCTGCTCTGCTCCTTTTAGATACTGTCCTTAAGATGGGGGCTTCTTTTACGTGATCTTTTCTAATTGCTACCATTGGTTGGGTGTGTTAATTAAAGTTTGTGAGGTTTAACAGTGAAATTAAAGTTTTGAAGACAAGAATCAAGTAATTAGAGTTCTTTTGAAGATGATGTTAGTGGTAGTGAAGATTTGAAGGAAGTTGGATTTGAGTACATTGTGAAGATGTTCCAAGTCTTGAAGGATTTCAACTCATCTTAAAATTGACACTTGCAAGGTCAGCAGCCAAGTGCTTGCTTATTTATAGTGACCGTCCATATTTTGGCGATTATTTTGACAAATTTATTAGGAAAGGTTTTGGGTCTGTTTAAGTATTTGCCTACTTTTGCTTTTCAGTATAGCTCCTTTTGTGACTATTGTTGTTTTTCTTCTCTTTCCATCTATTTTTGCAGGGAGCCTCGTGGTTTTGGTTTTGTCCAGTTTGTTGAGCCTTCTGATGCTGAAGAGGCTAAATATCAAATGGATGGTCAGCTTCTTCTTGGTCGGGAGGTAACTGTTGTATTTGCAGAGGAGAACAGGAAGAAGCCATCTGATATGAGGCATAGGGAGCGTGCAAGGTAAAAACCTGCCTATTGCTTTTTTTTTTTATATTGTTTGGGAAGTTGCTGTTTAATCCAATTAATATATTTTCTGGATGTCTATCTGCATGTTCTTTTCCTTCAAAATTTTGTGTAATCATCTTATGTGGTTGTGAACTTGTTAAAAGAACATAGAAGTCACTGGTACATTCGTTGTCAATGTATATTAACATATACCAAAATCTTTCAAAAAAAAAAAAAAAAAAAAAAAAAACCCAGGGGATTGCCAATCTGTGTATATCAATTTAGGCAGTGTAAAAAATGCTCATATTCATTCTCAATAATGGAAATGATAGAGCTCATGCATTAGAATATACATAGTATATTGATAATCATATGTAAATATTTGAATTAGTTATTCTAGTAATTTTGCTTGCAATGGTTCTGCTATCTAGTTTGATTCAGCACACATTATGCAATGTGAATTGAGATGGTATTTGATAATGTATTTTCTGCTTCTGAGTTGCATCATCATATAACTTTTCAAATCTTTTCTCTCTTAGCTCCAGGACTACTAGTCGATATCGTGATCGAAGACGGTCTCCTCCTCGCTATTCACGTTCTCCACCTCCACGGCGTGCAAGATCTCGATCTCACAGCCGTGGTTATTATTCTCCTCCAAAACGAAGGGATTATTCCAGGTAATAGTTCTGTTTCTTCTTAGCTGTGTCTTCTTTCCGGTAAAGCCATTTCTTGTTGGTTGTGGAAACTACTTACTCATGTTATGCAACCTGCTGTTTATTATTCCTAGAGTCCAAATAAGATGCATTAGACTTTTGAGATAGATATATATTTTTCGGTTTTAGGGTTATGGCTAGTATTCTATTGTCCGTTGGTGTTTTTTAAAAATAAAGGGTTCCGGTGGAATCATTCATACCGATATTGATTGCTTGTTGTATTTCCTCCGGATGTTTGATAAAAAATGCTGCTTTAACATTTTTATATGGTAGACCTCTTGTATCTGAATCCCTTTCATATTGTATGTGTATTTACTTAGATGGTTCTGTCTAGTGATTCCTTCTATTTATTCTGATGTGTGGTTCCTTACGCATCCTGCTGCTTCTGTATTTTTTTAGATCTGTCTCACCCCAAGAGAGAAGGTACAGCAGAGAGAAGTCGTTTTCTCGATCTCCTCCACCATATGAGGGGTCAAGGAGCCGTAGTCAGAGCCCAGTTAGGGGTCCAAGCTGGAGTGGAAGCAGAAGCCGTAGTCCAAGGCGGAACATAAGAAGAAGCCGAAGCCCTATCAATGAAGGTCACCCGAGGGCACCAAATGGAGACAGATCTCCTAGTCCATGAAAAGTAAAAAGATAAATTGCTCTCTTTAAGTAAGCGGACAGTGACTTGTTATGCCATCTGTTGTTGGAGTTCGTATAGTATTCTGGTCAGTACGATGTTGACGCTACTGTTTGATGGGGTGACTATGGTAGTCTTTCGGATTAAGATATGTAGGTTTATGCTTTTATTTGAATGACATGTATGACAGAATTTTGAACTCAAATCTTATCTGTCTCGGCTTCTTTTTGTTTGCCTTAAGTTTCTGGTTATCGTCATGCTTGCGATTTTGCTCCATTAAATTCTTCTGGTCTTTGCTAAGTTTCTGTCTCTATTGAGAGCCTATCTCCCGTGGCATCTCTCTTTTCGTGCGAGAGAGAGGTGCCACCAGGAATAGCTGTGAATCTCCGCGTCTTGCATTTCCCATTAAGGCTTTGGTGTAATAGGAAGAGGATCCTAGGAATCTTTATATCTTAGCTATTCATTGTGCGGTCAGTTTTTATCAGGTATTATTTGTGTTTAATTTTAAATTAAAAAAATCAAATGATTTCTGATTGTAAGATGCACGATAAATGGTGTAAGGAACTTAGATCCTCACAATTTGAATCGGGATGAGATCCAAATCCGGTGTAATATGTCTTGCCAGTGAGCACAGAAACTGTTGAAAAGAAAGCAGACAACTTTTTGACGATTGCGATCTCAATCCATCGTCGCGTATTGTGTATGTCTAATTTTGAAGTCGACCTTATGCGACGTGACAGTGTTTTCAACTTTATTTTTACAATCTTCTGCTTTTCGTTTTGAAAAATTGCTTGAGAGGTCATGTTTTAAGGTAAGAGTTTGTAGATCATAAAAAGTGGCTGTTGTTGGTGATTCTTTCTTTAATGATTTAATATAGGAGTCTAATTATAATTTGCAAATATTAAAATAGATGATTGTTCTAGCATCATCATCAGTTATTTTTTGAATTTTTTACGGATATGAATTCAAATTAAATGACACAACAGATTAATCATAATTAGTTATCAAACCCAAGAGTCGAATTGACACCTCTCAGCCATAATTGTAGTGCTAATGACATTATAAGTCCGGTTAAAGGGCATTGAATTTTTAGTTCAAAACATCTCCTTTGTGTCTATCTTGTACTTTGGGCCACTGCCGCGTACATTTGCCTTTTGACAAAAAAAACACCATTCATTTTCACGCGGCTAATCTGATGACTTTTCATCACCTTTTTCATTCTTTCAACCTGAGAAAAATGGCTTTTGGAGGGAAAACCGAATAAAATCGCCGACATATTAAATAATGAGTATCATTATTAACATTTCAAAATTTTTATTTTATGTTTTATATCTTTTATATTAAGAAAAAAATAACCTTATGAAAATATAAAATAAAATTTTTGAAATGTTAATAATAATTCTCTAAATAATTAATAAGAAGAAGATTGCAACAATCCTTATCTCTGAACAAGAGAATATACCTCTTCTATGTGAAAAAGTAAATCAAAATAAAAATAGAAAAAGAAAAAAAAAATCCAGGAAAAGACAAACCAAAGAAGAAACAAAGCAACGAGAGCTTCCAAGACTTGGCTTCAGTTGAGTTTTCACTTCTCACTCTCTCCAGTGGCTGCTCATTTGCTACTCAAGCTTCCGTTTACAGGTCCTCTCTCTACAACCTTCCTCTTTCTATTATTTTTTTTATATTATTATAATTTTTTTTATTTGCAAATGAATAATGCTAATATGATTGGACAGGTGGGGGCAAATTTTGTCAGAAATTATCGTGCTTGTTTTTTTCCCTGGAATGTAATTTGTGTAGGGTCTGGATGCTAGAAATGTGTGTTTAGTGCTCTTCTGGCTTCCACATTTGAGGGAGTTACTTTTTTTACTTTAACCAAATGAACAATCTTTCGTAGATCCTTGGTTCTAGGCGCTTCAGTTTCTTATGTGCTTTACTGTTTTTCTTAGCTGGTTTGAATCGTTGGAAGTAAACTTTGTGGTTGTTTTGCAGCTGGGGAAGTTGAATCGGGTACTGCTTTTCCGGTCATTTTTCTTTGAATTTCAGTTTCTGGGTTCTTTTTGTTTGTGTTGTTTGTGGTCGAGTTGCTTCTGCAATGGTTTTTTTCATGGTTTTCTGCATCTGGGTTCTCTGGCTAGTCATTTCTCGTGTTGTGTTTGTGCGAAAAATCGAAGCTTGTTCAGTTTTATGTGGAATTTAGTTTGCTCAAGCTGATAGCTTGAGATTACAAGTTTTGGTTCGGATTTCGTTTCAAAAATGCTAAAGAGGGAACTGAGAGAAGTTCGAGGAATCAATGAAATGTTGCTTATGTACTTCCCTATTGTCTGTCAGCTATTGAGAATAAAAGTATATCGTGTTTAAATTGGAATTTTGGTTTTGATTTTCTGGTTTTAGTGGTGCGATTTAGCGTCTACCATTTTGTCTTGGAAATTGAATTCGCTGCTGATGAGCCAATGTTGTTGAATTGTGCTTACGAAATCAACCTGTTCTACTCTTTTTGTTATTCACTTTTGATCCGCTTTTCATGTTGTACATCACTTGGCAGTGCACACTATAGACTACAAAGGCCTCTGATACCCAAAGCTTTAGCTGAAATTGGCTTTCTTCATCATGATCAGGATCTCATCGCGTTTTGTATATGGTTCTGTTTTTGCAGCTTGGGACTTACGAGCTAACCACAAGACACTGGAGGTGTAATTTGAAGTTTTTTTAGCACGAATGATGCGTGAAAAATGGATTGGAGGCGTGCTTCTCCTTCTAGTTGGCATGTTTACCAATGTACTAGGTAACATTATAACCTTGTTCTGTTTTCTGTTGATTATTTTTTTTATAGTATAAATTCGAGCTCCAATCTGCCTGGAATTCCTCGTCGTGAGGTTTTGGTCTCTTATCGACTTCTTCAATATTTCATTCCCTACATCATGTTTATGTTACTCCTCTTAAGCTTTGTATCATTTAGAGTGTTGATTTGCATTCCAAAGTACATCCTTATCTCGGCTTGTGATAAGTGAGTATGATAAGAAACAAATTTATTGCCCTTGTTATAATTGGAAAGCATACATCTACATAGTGTTTCACTTATACTTGCAAAGAATGCCGTTTTCACTTTACCTTCTCTGATTTGGTAATATGTCTTTCTGCTTGTAAAATGTTATTTTCCATGCCTGCCTTGTTCTGGAGGCTTTTCCTTTGTAGGTTTATGCGGTCTTAGGAAATTTTCGAATATGTCCACATGATATCTAGATTATATGTTTTCAGGATTTTTAATATATTAATGCCTTTAACGGAAGCACGCCGTTTGGATTTAGACATGCCTATGTTACTTGTTGTAGTGTTATCACTCTAGCAAGTTACTGAACCCACAATTTCAAATTTATAGGTGCATTCATAGGGATAAACATTGGGACCGATGTTTCGGACCTTCCATCTGAGACAGATACAGTAGCACTCCTTAAAGCCCATCAAATTACACATGTGCGCCTCTACAATGCTGATGCTCACATGCTGAAAGCCCTTTCAAACAGCAGAATTGAAGTAATGGTAGGTGTCACAAATGAGGAAGTCCTAAGTGTTGGAGAGTCTTCATCAGCAGCAGCTGCCTGGATTAACAAAAATGTTGCTGCTTATTTGCCCTCAACCAATATTACCGCCATTGCTGTTGGCAGTGAGGTCATTACCTCAATTCCTCATGCTGCGCCAGTTTTGGTCGATGCTATGAACTACCTTCATAAAGCCTTAGTTGCTTCAAACCTAAATTTTCAGGTCAAAATTTCAACTCCACAATCCATGGATATAATCCCAAAGCCTTTCCCCCCGTCCACTGCCACCTTTAATTACTCATGGGGACACACCATTTACCAAATCCTTCAGTTTATTAAAAACACAAATTCCTATTACATGCTAAATGCGTATCCTTATTATGGTTACACCAATGGGGATGGAATTTTCCCGCTTGATTATGCTCTTTTCCGACCACTTCCCTCTGTCAAGCAGATTGTTGACCCGAACACTCTTTTCCACTATAACAGCATGTTTGATGCTATGGTGGACTGCCACCTATTATTCTATAGAGGATTTCAATTTCTCTGGGATCTCTGTTGTTGTCACTGAGACTGGTTGGCCATGGTTTGGTGGATCCAAAGAGTCCGATGCCAACACAGGAAATGCTCAGACCTACACCAATAATTTGATTCGACGAGTTTTAAATGATTCAGGTCCACCCAGCCAGCCAAAGTTGCCCATCAACACGTACATTTACGAGTTGTTCAACGAGGACAAGAGGCCTGGGCCAGTGTCAGAGAAAAACTGGGGTGTGCTATATACGAATGGGTCTGCTGTGTATCCCTTAAGTTTGAGTTCCAGTCAAATTACTGGGAATTCTTCAGGGGTTTTCTGCATGGCGAAAGCTAATGTAGATCCAGATAAGTTGCAGGATGGCATAAACTGGGCTTGTGGGCAAGGTGGGGCTAACTGCACTCCCATTCAACGAGGGCAGCGGTGTTATCTCCCCGATACTATTGTAAATCATGCTTCATATGCTTATAATGACTATTATCAAAAGATGAAAAGTGCTGGCGGAACATGTGACTTTGATGACACTGCCATAATATCTACTGTTGATCCAAGTAAGTTTCTGTCAACATCTTGTTATCCCTTGACTATTGAGTATGTTTGGAATCTGGATGCAGTAAGCACTATTTTTGTGATAGTTTTAAAGACAAGTTTTCTGAAGAAAAACAAATGTAGTTTGAATTGCCTTTCATTAAGCTACGCTGTTTTATCAGTTGGAAACAGGCCTAACTGCAATGTCGACAATCATTAATTTTTGTTTCTCTTATTGTTGCAATGAACCTCATGCTTCTTATATTGGTTTTCTGGTTAAACAAAACAATAGTTTAGCGGCTCGCAGAACCTTTCCGAGAAAAGTAAGCTTGTAGCAAATGCAGCTTTAACTAGTTTCTACGGTGTGGTTTTTAAATTAGTGCTACTCTTGCATCTGAACATGAAAAATGGTTTCATGTTTCTGATTGTAAGATTGATTATTGAGGTCTGCTTGTCAACCCTTGAAGTTCTTTTTTTTGTTTCTTTTCATGGTTACTTTGTACATTTCTACTACCTCTACAGTTAAGCATATTCCTTCCATTGATTTGCTCTTTATCCTCCTAATATTCGTTTTGTTGGGCATTCGTTCACAGGCTATGGCGCGTGTAAATTTTCCGGAAGGTGAGTATCTCAGCCTCTTCCAGATATTCGTAATTATAACTTTAGAACCTGTACGATAAATTATGAGTTTGGCTCTAAACTTGCCCTATTATGATACAGTTCTAATTCAAGCAAATTTGCGGGACTTACACCAGCATCAGTTGCACCTTCAACTGCTGTTGGAGGCTGGAGTTCGAATCTACAAGTTTCCAATCTTCAATATCTCATGCCGGCAGCATTTCTTACATTGCTATTGCTTTGACTTGAGGTTGCATCCAGATTTCTTTACCGTGTAGCGTAGTTCACCACATTCGACATATCAAACGGATTGAAGAAGACCCGGGAGCTGTATGGCAGCACAAGCTTGGTGACACAATTGGAAACGTCCGTGCATTGTTTCATCAATTTTGCCAATGTTTCCTACTTCTGAGGTTGTCTCCTTCACCTCTGCAAATTATGGGGAGTTTTGTGTAGTTCGTTTTGCAGGCATTTCTGATGAAGTAGTGGCTAGACCTTGACTTTATTGGACCAACTTAACTAGAACTTGATTTGTACCTTATCAACCAAAAAGTACTTCTATCTTCCAATTTACTTTTCATTGTGTCGAATTATATGTGCATGAAATTGATTACGAACTCACAATTTCTGATATTCGAATTTACAAGCTCTCATTTATAAATGACTTCCTACTAGTAGTTTAGATTATTAAATTTGTATTTATTGGTCGAATAATAAAAGGAAAACATTCTTTTAACGCGTTGTATCTAAAATTGTTCCCCAAGTTGGTAGTTTTATGTTGTTGATGAGCTTGAGTTCCTCTTTGCCACCCTAAGAGTGCGCAATATGTCCAAAATGTTTTCAATATGTACCATATTTCCGCCTCTACCATCGGCAAATCAGAGTGGCGCAGCGGAAGCGTGGTGGGCCCATAACCCACAGGTCCCAGGATCGAAACCTGGCTCTGATAGGCATTTTTTTTCTTTTTTATTTTTCTGTTTCCTCATCTTTCGACTCCTTAACTCACAATTTGTTTCAGCCTTCTGCCAAGGTCTTTTTATCAGTATTAGGTTTCTGGCGTGCGCATCAAGCAAGCTTAATCATGTGTGGCTGCAATTTGTTTCAGACTTCTGCCAAGGTCTTTTTATCAGTATTAGGTTTCTGGTGTGGGCATCAACCATGCTTATTCGTTTTTCAACCCAATATACTTATCATGCATTTGTAGTTGATTGAGTTTTATTTCGACTGCTGCAAAGGGGTTTTCATCGGCATGTTTAGCGTGATAAAATCATGTCTTTTGGATTATGGTGTTTATTCTGATTTTTATCTGTAACTATGGGTGATATATCATTGCTTTGTGATAACTGTGCACATCCTAATAGCTGCATCCCTTGCTTTGTGATTTTGTTGCTCGATTACTGAAGTTTATTTTTGGATGTCTTTTAGCATGGATATCGGGTTTTTTTTTATTAAAAAAATAAAAAACTCAAATTTGCAGACAGTAGGTTGAGTTTGAAACTCAGAGGTTGGCTCCGATGCAGCATGTTGGAATTTTTAGATCGACAGGCTGGGGGGCCCTACTCTAATGAGTTAGATACTGTTTTCAATTTGGTAATTACTATGGCGCAATCCGTCAAGGATTTTATGAAAAAGAAAATTTTTGATATTAGTCAGAGTGGAGTAACCTTATTTAAACCCTATTACTTTTCTTTTCCCTCACCGATGAGGGATGGCCAACAGATTGGAAACCCATCAGTTCTTCGTTTTTTGTGTATTTGGACAATGCTGTTTTATGCCCTTGTCTGGTTCTGGGTAGTGTTACGTTACGGATATGGTTTATGTTTGAATGGAGTTGAATAGACTATCCATTGATATGATTTTGACCGGCTCTTCGATTTGTTTTTGTCTTATAAGCTGCTAATAACTACGTAGATTGAGCGATCTAACCTCTCCTTTGCAATAGCGAGCTTTGACACTTTAATGTTCTTGTTCACAGGAACACCTTACCACGGTGGCATATATTTCCTTGATTTTGACGTTTCTGAGTGACTATCCGTTTAAACCTCCAAAGCTATTGTGTCCTAATGGAATATTTGGTGCAAAACTGAGCGCAAAAGCGTTCTAGGATTCATACATCTGATCCTACTTAGTGAGATAAGGCTTGGTGGTCATTGTTGTACTATTGTTTCCTCTGGAAACTTGCTAAGAGAAAGATAAATATTTAAGTTATGACTCTCTTATTTCATTATTTATTTTACCTTAAGGATCAGTTTTATAGGTTATAGTCAAAACTTGAATTTATCATTGCAGTGTTGATTCTGCCGGAAATCTAAGCCTGGAAATGTTAGAGGATAGTTGGAGTCCAGCTCTAACAATAACCAAGGTGCTACTTGCCATCCGATCCATCTTCACAAGAACCGATCCTTGTAAGTTCTAGCATCTTTCATCCAATTTAAATTATCTTCGGTATATCACTTTGTCGATCTTAATTATTTAAGTATTTTTAAGGGAAATTTTGTCATAATTCCTCGCGAAACAAAAATTTGACAGATTGGATCCATGTCCTGTATGAAAAATGATGTAGGAACAGAAAATATTCCCAACCATAGTAATAACTTAGCTTGCACCCTTGAGCAGCATAACGTATTTTTTGTACTGATTGAATGGATATTCATTTGTGAGCAGATAATTTGTTTGTCCCCGACATTGCCGGCCCGTCTGTACTTGGAAGATAAAGCTAAACACGACCATGGACGGAGCTAGAAATTTTTTCTAGTGGGGGCACCCCAAAAAACAGCTAGTAGTGGATAGTGACAAAGTGATGACAAAAATATTACTACATGATAGGTGGGAAAAGAGTTTTTCAGTTTGAATGACAGAACAAGATCGCACTTCTGCTCATATAATATTTGATATGGAGTAAAGTAGTATGAATGTATGTTGGATATTAGACATATATTTACTTCAAAGGTAATGCTTATATACTATATAATTGTAGTCTGCAACTGAACAAATGAATCACTGGAATGGGGGCATCTGCCCTAGCTAGTGAGCCTTCATTGGCTCCGTCCATGAACACGACGAGCTTGTTTCTGAGTGGACGTTGCGATTTGAAGAATGTTATGTTATGAACTGAATACTATGAGCTAGCTAGCGCGTTATGTTCCCGATCGAGGGGTTTGATACCAGGCATGAATGTACCAGCTGAATTTTTTGTGGACCCATCGTTGAATAACAGAAACCATGCATAAAGGAAAATGCTTGTAATATATCCTTCATATATGTGCACTTAAGGAATTGATTAGTCATATGAGATCAATATCCTTTCATTGACTTTCATCAGTGAAAGTTGCAAGGAATGTGAGCCATATTGGCTCAATCGTTTCCATTCATATTTTTTGCACACCTCCTGTTCAGAGAAGAACAAACATTCTGGTGATCCTCAGAAAAGAAGGAGACAGCTGCGGCAAATCCTCTTCTGGCAGGAATGCAAGACGATCGATGATGCGTAGCTGTTGAAGAGAGCTTAGTTGTTGCGGTCCCTCTCCGGGAAGGATTTCCGAGAATGCTAGGTGTTTTGTCCAAAGATTTCTAACTTGATAGTCCAGATGGTGTGAGTGGTGGACAGATGCTGTTGTTTGAGCAATGCCTCCAACAGATCCTCATTTCCCTTAATCTTAAATTCCCCAAGGGAGACCTAGCATAGTTCGATTCCAGTTAAAAAATATATATACCGATATTATAAATGCAAATATAGTCAAGGCAAAATGAAGAAAGCAAAAGAAAAGGAAGTTACGTTACAATTTAGAAATCATCATTGTTGAACCGGAACACCCAGCCTCGTCAGCCTCCTTGTAGAGTAACCCAATGCACTGGCATTCATCCAAACGCAGTTAAGTGTCAAACTTTGAAGACAATAAATTATGTTGGAACATTTGAGGACAATCAGTTTATCATAACTACAGATAAGTGGTGTGGAATACATACGTATGTACCTTGCTTTGTCTTGAGACTTGAGAGTTGAGAGTTAGAGGGAAGTAAAAGCTTATATGACGATTACTTCGCCATCTATGTTTATGCAAGGAATGCGAGCTATGTTTCTCCAATCTTTTCCCTTCTTGTCCGATACCTCTTCTTCAGAGAAGGACAATCCCGGATGCTCAGATAAGAAAGAGAGGCTGGAAAACCCTCTTTTGGCAGGAATTCGAGACTTTCGCAGCTTCCAATTTGTAGCTCTTTAAGAGAAGTGAGGTGCTCAAGTGCCTTTCCGTCCAAAGATTTCAGATTTGAAAGTTGAGAGATTTCGAGAGTATGAAGAGTGGTAGGAAGCAGCTGTTCCTCGAGCAACGTCTCTAACAGATCCTGGTTGCTTCCGATCCAAAATCGGTGAAGTGAGGCAAGTCTTTGCAATCTCCACTCCACCGAAGGTCTCAGTCTCTCACAGTTAATGATCCAAAATGATTGTAGGTTGGGAGGCAAACCCCCTTGTGCAAATGACACTAGATTTGGAACATCTTCTATCTCCAATGTCCGCAGGGCGGTTAGGGTGTGCATTCGGTCAGGCAACAACTCCAAATTCTCGCATCCAGAGACTCTAAAGGAAGTCAGGTTGGGAGTGGGCAATCCTCCGTCGCGAAAAGAGACAAGATTTGGACAGCAATGGATATAAATGTTGTTGAGATGGCTGAGATTTTCATCTGCTCTTTCAACAGAAAGGAGTTCCAGATTCTGACAACCAATGAAGGACAAAGATGAAAGTTTGGGGAAAATGCCCAAAGGGAACACCCTCAGAGACTCACAGCTCTCGGATAGATACAAAGTCTGAAGGGAAGTCAAATTGGCCATCATATCACGTGATAGGAATTCTAATTTCCTGCACTCTACTATTTCAAGTGACGTCAACGTGGTGGGCAGACTATTTCTAGGGAGCGACAAGAGTGAGGAACAGTAAGAAAGAGTCAAACGTTGAAGACGATTGCTGTTGTGCACCATTTGCGGCAACCGCTCTGTCCCACCAAAAAAATTAACACTGAGCATCTGAAGCGACGGCAGCATCTCCGTCGACTCTAGTAACCATGAGAGACCCGGGCATTCATATATTGTTACTTCTTCTAGAGATCGTGGTAAGGTCTTCGTGTTCAGGGTATTACTAGCCCTGTTTTCATGTAGAACCCCACAGTAGGAAACCGAAAGCTTTTTCAAGGAAGGAAGATGAGTGAGCAAGTTTCCTCTCAACTTCGGACATCTGTTTATATTCAGCTCCTTAAGACGAGGAAAATCTGGACTTTCACCTCCACCTGGACTAGGCAACCATTCCTCCCACTCTGACATCCCCATAAACTCTAGCTTCTCTAAAGATTGAAATGGCTGATTTCCCCCGTAGAACTCAACACCAACACTCATAACAAATTTTATCCTTTCTACGTAGAGCTCTTTGAGAGCAGGAAGCTAACCAACTGGTGGCAGCGAACTACATTTACTACAGTCACAGAGGCGCATCACCTGTAAGTTGGAGAAGGACGAGTCTCCCACCCAATTAGGGAAACTGGTTCCACAATAGGACCTGATGGTTAGTTTCAACAAATTTACGGAAGGTTGTAATCTCTCAAGTATATGTCTCTCTTTTACAGAATCATCGGAAACCACACGACCCCATGCCAACTCTACCTCATTGAGATCCTTCTTATCCTTCAGCAAGGCATCAACAACACTGACTACATTTTGCAGATTCAAGATAGAAATTTTTCCTTGAAGGTTTGATAACTCCCTCAGTTCTCCGATATTTGACCCAGTAGATTTCCCCAACACAAAAGCAGTGAGCGTTCTCAAACTTCTTAGTCTGCCCATTTGCACCGGCATCTCTTTTATGTTAGTTTTACTAATATCAAGATGACGCAAATTAATCAATTTCCTCATATCTGCAGGCAATTCAACCAGTGAGGAACACCCTAACAACAATAGAGTCTGTAAATTGTAAAGAGTACACACCATATCTGGTAACCTTTTAACTGAAGTATAAGATAGATCAATGTAGCGTAAGTGTATGTGGTTACCAATGCAATCAGACAAGTGAGTGATATTTCTATATTTAGATAATGATAGTACCCGTAAACATTTTTGCGCTGGCAACAATTCATCTTGAACCTTTCTACTTAAAAATGTAGAGTTTTTTTGCCACAATTTGTTTGAAGACATTGGTAGGAAGGTGCGTAAACATTTGACACCACCTAATGGCTCAAATTTTGAAGCAATATCAAATCTACAACTTCTAATATACGACAAGTGGCGAACTTTTTTAGGAATGTCATGTGATTCTCCCTCATCCAACCTGAAACTAAATTCTCCATACACAAACATAGCCAAGTCATTAATGAGATCATGCATTGTGAAACTTGATACCCCAATTCTTGATCTTTGAAATAGTGACCGCGATAACAGTTCATCAAAGTATCTTTCACCAACCTCCTCCATTGCGTTCTTGCTCTTTGATTGTGGAATTAAACCTTCTGCCACCCATAGTAGAATTACAATTTTCTTTCAAATTCATAGTCCTTTGGAAAAATTGAGCAATAAGCAAAGCATCGTTTCAAGTAAGTTGGAAGATAATGGTAACTCAATCTTAGAGAAGGAAGAACACAATTAGCATGTGGTAGATCCCAAAGATTGCTATCCAATATGTGATTCCATTCCTTGTAGTGTAGGTTGCAACTTAAGAGACCCCCTATTACTTTTGCAGCTAAAGGCAAACCATTGCACTTACGTGCAATTTTCTTACCAACTTCTTCCAAGTTTGGATGTGCATTGGGATTTTCATTTCTAAATGCATGTTTTGCCAGTAATAACCAGCAATTATCATCTGACAGTTCTTCTAAGTCATGAATGGGAATAGTATTGTGCACGATGGATGCAACACATCTACTCCTTGTTGTTACAATGACCTTACTTCCCTTCGCCCCATACGTGAAAAGAGTTCGTAGATGATCCCAATCATCATAGCTCTCATTCCAAAGGTCATCCAGGACAAATAAAAATCTCTTTCCCCTCACTTGTTCCCTTAGTCGAATCTGAAGGGAATTCAAATCTGAGATATCACAAGATTTCCCAGTGATTTCCCCAATAAGGGTCTTAATCACCCTCAAAGCCTCATACTGTTCGGAAACACAAACCCAAGCATTAGTATCAAAATGCTCTTTAACTTGTTGATCATTGTAAAGGAGTTGAGCAAGAGTTGTCTTACCAACCCCACCCATTCCGACTATAGGGACTACGGCAAAATTACTGCTACTTTCATTGTCAGATAGCAGCAGTAGAGCTTTTAACTTTTCTTTATCTCCATCCCTTCCATAGGTAAAAAATCCTTCCTCAACAACAGAAGTTGTGGGAGTTCTTTGTGAAACCTTGCTCCCAATAACACCTCCCCTAAGACCAAGGATATCTTTTTGTTTTGCAAGGTGTTCCAACTTGTTGAATAAATTTTCTATTCTACCATTTAAGCCTTTATAATTAAAAGGATTAGTTGAGGTAGAAAGGATGTTCCACACCTGGGTTTTCTTGGTCTGATTGTTCGCCTTGCGACACAAAGCTTCAGTATCGATCTCGTCCACGAAGTCCTCGGCATCGAATGCAGCATGTTTGAGCTCGTCAAGCCATATCCCGACGGCAGGGTTGACAATCTGCTTCTCCTCTGCATCGTTGAGCACTGCATGGAGGGTCATCAATGTCACCTTCAGTTTGTCCACGAGTGAATGGTTGAGTCTTCTTGCCCGGAAGAAGTCCATGAACTCTGCGGAGGCAATCTTGTCGCACAACACCTGGATCGAACCAGAGAGCAAAGCCTCTCCAACCAAAGCCATTTTTTATTCTTGGAGAAAGGACTAATTTTGATCAAGTATTTGAAGTTGATTAGTCTGAAAGTTCTGTTGAAATTCAAGTAAGGAAATAGCTCAACTCAAATGAAATTCAGGTGAGGAACTTTCAGAGCCTATTACGATCATGCATAAGCTAAATTTCGTTTGTGTGAGAGAGTCGACTTGATATTGTTAATGCAGTGGACCCCGCACGTTAGGCATAGGGTATAATATTATGCGTATCTAATTGTTTGGTTTGGTTTTGTCATAATTTATTTTATTTAGTTATTTATAATTTTTATCTTTTATGTCAGCTTGAGATTGATCAAAGCAAAGAAACTTTGTTTTCTCTTTCCCCCTCTCTTTTATGTCTTGCTCTCCCCAACGCTGTCTTTGATGGGTTGTGGACGGTTCTTCAATTCTTGAGGAGATCGAGGTCGTCGGATCGGGCGGGCGGTATGGACGGAGAGGCCAAGAATTTGCAACTGTTCCATTTCTTGTGCTGGCCAACAAGATCGACATCCCTTATATATGCTGCTTCAGAAGATGAACTTCGATATCATCTAGGACTGACCAATTTCCCAACTAGCAAGGGGAAGCTGAATCTTACAGACTCACCGTTCGCCCTCTCGAGGTTTTCATGTGCAGTATCGTGCGTAGATGGGATACGGGGATGGTGTCAAGTGGGTCTCCCAATAAATAGAGATTTAATTGCTTTAGGTATTTTGGGTATTTAAAACTTTGCCGGGAATGATCTCAAGGAGGAAGATTCTATTTTGAAAGAAAGTACAGTGTTCATTTATATAGAAGAGTAATGTACAAGAAGATAGAGTGCTAAAAAGTGGCCTCGTTAACACCTTGTCAGAAATTTTAATTCGGTCGAAGAAAAAAAAGTACCATGCACCAACAAATAACACTTAGTTAACTTATGACTAACTTCTATTAGATCATCAAAGAAAAAATATTACAAAACCATAGCAACCCTTTGTTCACTTGCAAAAGCCGTATCGGGCAAGTGTATCTGCAACCTTGTTGGCTTATTGTCTCACGTAAGCGCAATGAACAATTGAGTTAGAGCCTCAAGTAGAGCCTTGACATCAAGAAATATTGGACTAAACACTATAACCCTGCTCCTTTTGCTGCAGCATCGCCAAAGCTAGAGTGGAGTCACTCTCCAGTACTTCCACTGCAGCAGCCCCCAGATCAGCCACCGTCTGCAGCCCACGATGTAGTGCCATGGCCTTGACGTGTAGAGGTGACTGAAACCTGACGTACTTGGCTGAACAGGCAGCCATAAAGTATGTGTTGAAAATCAATGTCAAAGTTAGGTATGAAAAATTAGGCAATGTTAGGCATGGTTGAATAAAAATAAATTAGGTGCAATTAATGTGTTTTGTGTGGTAATAAATAATCTTAGTTTATTCATTTGGTTTGCTATAAATACCCAAGTTCTCAAGCATTGTAAATCATCCAAGGAAATACAAAGCCTAGAGCTAAATAAGAAAAGCTTTGCTAATTAGTTTGTTTTGTGAGCTTTCTTTAAGAGTGTGTTCTATTTTCTTCTTCTTGGGATCATTAGAGTTATCTTGGATACTCTTCTTATTCAACAATTGGTATCAGAGCCAAGTCGGTCAGGGATCGTTCTTGGTAGAGCATTGGTTGTAAAGTCTCTTGGAATTCCGAGTATGCTCTGTGGTTGCAGTTTTGACTAATCTTCTACATCAGAAAAGGTTTCTTGAGATTATTGCTGGGGTTATCACAAACCTTGAGAGGGAGCTTCTTTGTGTCGAGAGTAGTGTATTACTCTGCACGGTAGTCACTCAAGCTTGCTCGGTGTAGTCAAAAGTCTTGCCGATACGATGGGTGATCTTCAAGTTGTTGGAGGAATCAAGAAGCTCAACAACCAAAACTATAACACGTGGGCAACGTGTATAGAGTCTTACCTTCAAGGTCAAGACTTGTGGGAGGTTGTCGGTGGTAGTGAAGCTACACAACCGGCAGCGGAAGATGCTAACGGCGTCTTGCGAAAGTGGAAAATTAAAGCAGACAAATCAATGTTTGCTTTAAAGACCACAATAGAAGAAGAAATGTTGGAGCACATTCGGGATGCTAGAACGCCAAAGGAAGCATGGGACACTTTTGTTACACTCTTTTCGAAGAGGAACGATACAAAATTGCAACTTCTCGAGAATGAGTTGCTATCAATGGTACAACGCGACATGACGATTGCCCAGTACTTTCATAAGGTGAAGTCGATATGCCGCGAAATTTCAGAATTAGATCCAACAGCTCCTATTGGGGAAACCAGGATGAAGAGAATAATTATCTATGGTTTGAGACCCGAATATCGAGGGTTCATTGCCGCTATACAAGGATGGCCGACACAACCATCGCTTGTTGAGTTTGAAAATTTGCTTGCAAGTCAAGAAGCTATGGCCAAGCAAATGGGAGGAGTCTCACTGAAGAGTGAAGAGGAAGCGCTCTACACCAACAAAAGCAAAGGCAGCTTTAAGCAGCGTGCTGGTGGTGGATCTAAAAGAAATGGTGACAAGGAAAAAGGTCATCAAGGAGGAGGGAGTTCTCGGCCAGGGGAAGCTCCGAAGTATCACGGCAACCGTGGTCAGTCCCAGAATAATAAAAGATTTGAGGGCAAGTGTTACAATTGTGGAAAGAATGGCCACATGGCGAAAGATTGTTGGACCAAGAAAGAGCCTGTTGAAAGTAATACTGCTACTTCCAGTTCGAAGGAGAATAGTGAAGATGGCTGGGATGCTGAAGCATTATTCGCTACGGAGGAAGAATGGGACGCAGAAGCATCATCTTGTTGGTGCTCAGAAAATGAAATTGAAGATGATTGGGATGTCGTTGCGTCTCTAGCTGTGGAGGAAGAATGGGACGCAGAAGCATCATCTTGGTGCTCAGAAAATGAGGCGTCACCTGACCCAAAAGAGTTTGAAGATACGTTGCAAGGGAAACTGGGAGACCAAGCTGCCCAAATTCAATCAAGTCCAGATGAGCCTGAAGATTTGCTTACTGGAGACGATGTCGACCAAGAAGTACCTAAGAGTACTTGGCAAACTGGCATGTATCAACAACCAGACGAAGAAGGTGGGCCTAGTGTACCGGAAGAATCAACTCCACAATCTCAACTCCGAAGGTCAACAAGAGCACGGAGACCAAATCCCAAATATGCCAATGCAGCCATAATTGAAGAAGCAACAGAACCTGAGACGTTCGAAGAAGCATCGCAGAGCTCTGAGTGGATGACAGCTATGAAAGAAGAGCTTGATGCACTTCAGCAAAATCAGACTTGGGATCTCGTGCCAAAGTCAAGAGATGTGAAACCCATATCCTGCAAGTGGGTTTACAAGATAAAGCGTCGTCCAGATGGGTCAATCGAGAGGTACAAGGCACGATTGGTAGCTCGTGGTTTCTCTCAACAGTACGGACTAGACTATGATGAAACGTTTAGTCCAGTGGCGAAGCTTACAACAGTACGAGTCTTACTTGCACTTGCAGCCAACAAAGACTGGAATCTGTGGCAGATGGATGTGAAGAATGCTTTTCTTCATGGAGAGCTGGATCGGGAGATCTACATGATCCAACCAATGGGATTTCAGAACCAAGATCATCCTGAATATGTGTGTAAACTGCGGAAAGCACTCTAGGGATTGAAACAAGCACCCAGGGCGTGGTATGGTAAGATTGCTGAATTTCTAACACAAAGTGGTTATTCAGTAACATCTGCAGATTCCAGCTTGTTTGTCAAATCCAATGAAGGAAAGCTAGCTATCGTGCTAGTGTATGTGGATGACTTGATCATTACCGGTGATGATGAGGCAGAAATTCTTCGGACGAAGGAGAATTTATCAGTCCGTTTCCAGATGAAGGAACTTGGTCAACTCAAGCACTTCCTTGGACTAGAGGTTGATCGCACACAAGAAGGAATATTTCTCTGTCAACAGAAGTATTCCAAAGATTTATTGAAGAGGTTCGGAATGCTCGAATGCAAGCTGATCTCTACGCCGATGGAGCCAAATGTCAAAATGAGTGCACATGAAGGAAAAGATTTGGAAGATGCGACGATGTATCGACAATTGGTAGGTAGTCTGATCTACTTAACCTTGACTTGACCTGACATTTCTTATGCAGTTGGTGTGATGAGTCGATACATGCAAAATCCAAAGAAGCCTCATTTGGAAGCAGTTCGACGAATACTGAGATATGTGAAGAGTACAATTGACTATGGTCTTTTGTACAAGAAAGGTGAAGACTGCAAGTTAGTTGGTTACTGTGATGCTGACTATGCGGGAGATCATGACACCAGGAGATCAACAACTGGGTATGTGTTTAAGCTTGGTTCTGGAACCATCTCTTGGTGTAGCAAGAGACAGCCGACGGTATCATTGTCAACCACTGAAGCAGAATATAGAGCAGCAGCAATGGCAACTCAAGAGAATGCATGGCTAGTACAGTTGATGAGTGATCTACATCAACCAGTAGATTATCCAGTACCATTGTACTGTGATAACCAATCGGCCATTCGCTTGGCGGAAAATCCTGTCTTTCATGCAAGAACTAAACATGTGGAAGTGCACTACCACTTTATCAGATAAAAGGTTCTACAAGAAGAGATTGAGATGAGACAAGTCAAGACGAATGATCAAGTTGCGGACTTGTTCACAAAAAGTTTAAGTACAGGCAAGCTCGAAAATTTTCGCTGTCTGCTCAGCACAGTGCAAAGAATGAGAGCTGACATTGAGGGGGAGTGTTGAAAATCAATGTCAAAGTTAGGTATGGAAAATTAGGCAATGTTAGGCATGGTTGAATAAAAATAAATTAGGTGCAATTAATGTGTTTTGTGTGGTAATAAATAATCTTAGTTTATTCATTTGGTTTGCTATAAATACCCAAGTTCTCAAGCATTGTAAATCATCCAAGGAAATACAAAGCCTAGAGCTAAATAAGAAAAGCTTTGCTAATTAGTTTGTTTTGTGAGCTTTCTTTAAGAGTGTGTTCTATTTTCTTCTTCTTGGAATCATTAGAGTTATCTTGGATACTCTTCTTATTCAACAATATGGATGTGGTCGCATACCATTCAGAAAAATCAGACTGTTAAGAGAAACAAGCAAATACCCCTTAGCAATTGAGAAATTTACTACCATCTGCGATAATGTCCATGAAACCGCGGTTGAGAGAGAGATACCTTTGTGTTCAGATGAACCTGTAAATACACACATGATTTCTCATGTAATCCACAATGGTGAGAAGAATGTTGTAATCTCTCTTTTTTTTTTTATCGCTCCCAGGAGAGAAAAGATGTTCATAGACTGAAAAAAGGAAGAATCTCAGATGAATATAAGAATGTTATCTTTTTCTTCAACGAAAGTATGAATGCAGAGTTTCGATGAAAATTTAGCGAAGAAAACACAGAGCTTACCTTCACAGCCTTTTCTTATATCTATTACAATAGGATGCCAATCGACTTAAATGCTTTCGTTTCTCATACCTCAACTCAACAATATGTTGATATCCCACGTCGGTGAAATCCGTAGCGCATCAGCCAATTATGCAAGTATGACGGTGGTGAAACATCATTGGCAGGGGTTACCTCTCCGATTAAAGCAGAATTATATTCATGCAGGACAGCAGGGGCACCATTCAAGGACAGCTAGTTGATGTATTAAATTCGTTGGCCATAGATAATCCAATCTTCACAGTTCCAGAGTTCGCTTTCTACATCACAGAAGCCGACAACTACATTAGCCGCATCGTGTTGTGCTGACTGATAGCATAGTTGAATTACACTCTTCAAAATTGACTGACAAGTAGAAAACAATATATACATACACACCTAGCCGCATCGTGTTGTGCTGACTGATAGCATAGTTGGACGGGTGGCTTACCGTCTTTGTTTTGTGGGAATCAAAAAACTCACCTAGCTTCATCGGGGTACGCCTCAAGACGTTTGATTGGATGTCAGACTGTCAATTTTGTATAAAGGTTGTCGAAATCTGAAAAAAATTTGGTTGAAATCTGGGTTTTGTTTTCAGTTGCAACGCAATTTGAAGAAGATGAAGAAGACGCCAACTTGTTGGCTGATTTTTCTTTTTATTTTTTTAATTTTTTTTTTCCACTTTATTAACGGCCCAGCATATCTTTTAGCATATTCTACTTTTTGAGTTTTTGTTTTTTATATTATTTTATAGATATTAAAAAGATAAAAGATAAGTAGAAAGAAAATGTTTTTATACTTTTTATGAAGTACGTAGGCCTAATAAAACTCAAAAGATATCTTTACTTTTTAACGTTATAAATTACCCTTTTTTTTTTAAGACTCCACATCCACATATCTCATCAAAATATTATGCATATGTATGTATGTATGTGTATATATATTAAAAAATTTAAGTTCCTCACGTCTCAAGGCTTTCGTGTCATATCCCCGCCCGAGCAGGACCACTTCCTGGATCCACTCCATCACCGTAGCACGATATTGTCCGCTTTGAGCTTACCATTCCCTCACGGTTTTGTTTTTGGGAACTCACGAGCAACTTCCCAGTGGGTCACCCATCTGGGATTGCTCAAGCCCTCTTCTCGCTTAATTTCGGAGTTCCTACGGAACCCGAAGCCAGTGAGCTCCCAAAAGGCCCTGTGCTAGGTAGGGATCGGAATATACATATAAGGATCACTCCCCTGGGTGATGTGAGATGTCACAATCCACCCCCCTTAGGGGCCCGACGTCCTCGTCGGCACACACGAGGCCAGGGTTAGGCTCTGATACCAAATTGTCACATCTCGGCCCAGGCGGGACCACTTCCTGGGCCCGACTCCACCGTAGCATGATATTGTTCACTTTGGGCCCCGACCACACCCTCACGATTTTATTTTTGGGAACTCACACGAGAACTTCCCGATGGGTCACCCATCCTGGGAATGCTCTGGCGCACTAATCGCTTAACTTCGGAGTTCCTACAGAACCCGAAGCCAGTGAACTCCCAAAAGGCCTCGTGCTAGGTAGAGATGAGAATATACATTTAAGGATCACTCCCCTGGACGATGTGAGATGTCACATTTCGCCTAAGCGGAGTTATCAATGACACGTCTCGTCTACACCTTCGCTTTTTAAAACATTATACACACCACAAACACACACATGAGTTGAAGCAAAATAATATACAAAAGTTGTACCTTCACCTGTTCAAAATCAAATTGGAGTTATAAAAGGCTATTTCTTGTCATCGTTATTGACTGTATCGGTGTCAACTCAAGCGAATATCTTTTTCATACCTCACCTCAAAATTGTACTCCTAAATAAAAGATGAGAATTAGTGTTTTAAAATACACGCCTCGAGGCGCGCCTAAGCGGCCTCAGAGGCTGGACGGGTGGCTTGCCGACTCTATTTTGTGGGAGTCAGCTAAAAACTAGCCTAGCTTTGTCTGGGCGTGCCTCAGGACGTTTGATTGGGCGTCAATTTTGTATAAAGGTTGTCGAAATTTGAAAAAAATTTGGTTGAAATCTGGGTTTTGTTTTCAGTTGTAGAGCAGTTTGAAGAAGATGAAAAAGACGCAAACTTGTTGGTTGATTTTTTTTTTTTTTTTATATATTATTTTTTTCACTTTATTAACAGCCCAGCATATCTTTTAGCATATTCTATTTTTTAAGTTTTTGTTTTTTTATATTATTTTATAGATATTAAAAAAATAAAAAGATAAGCAGAAAGAAAATGTTTTTATACTTTTTATGAAGTTATAGACCTAAAAAAACTCAAAATATATCTTAACTTTTTAATGTTATATACTACTCTTTATTTTTCTTTTTAGGACTCCACATCCACATATCTCATCAAAATATTATGTATATGTATGTATGTGTATATATATTAAAAAATTTAAGTTCCGTGCAGGAATCTTATTCGCCCCAGATCACCAGAGAAAAACTCGACGACTTGTGATTGAGGGTGGTTGCCAGCCGGCAGCCACCAAGTCGAGTAACACTGGAATTCCAGCAACCGGTGCCAATAAGCCATGCTCTCTTCAACCATTGTGTTTGTATATGCACCTACCAAAAGATGACAGAGGCCATATTATAGGCTGCTTCATTTTAGAATTTTTTTTGTCATCATAGATGCCGTCACAACTAAAAATTTCTCGCCGTCAGGGGTGAAGCTAAATGTAAACCGGAGGTTGTCATAGCCTCTTAGTTTCCATGTGGCTCCATGTAATTGGATGACAAAATTATGAACTTCTGTTTAATTATATTAGAACATGGTTAATGAATGTGGTATTGGCTCTCTCAAATTCTTTAAGCCAGCTCCACCCCAAGTAAAGACTAATATAAACCTCACTTCTAAACTCTTTTGTTTTAACTTTTGAAGAATTCTAGCTACATTCTCCTCTGTACCTTCTTTTCTATTTCCTTTTTTTATTTTTAAGATTCTACATTATTACTTGATGATCCAATTCATTTATTTTCTAACATTTAAAAACCATCTTTACAAAAAATTAGCTAAATCCAAATCTATTTAGTTATTTAAGGATTATCTAATAATGGATGAACTATGTTTTTCAATTAACTAATGAAATCATGACAACGTCTATAGAACGGTAACACGACTTCCGATTATTTACTTTTTGCATTCATCTTAACTTTTTACTTTATTTTGCAATATCATGCAATCACTACACGTTTAAAGTGCCAGCAATAATATTAATTTCATATGTTTAGATAGCATTACATATTTTTGTAAGAAAAGGTGTATGCAATAATTTTCATTTGATTTTATAAACACAAAATTACTCGTATAGAAATAAGTTAGCAAAGTTTCAAGGAGTCCGAGATGCTGTGTTCAGTATTATGTTTATTTTATTGTTTAATGCAAATGATATTCTACACTAATTATTACATTAAAGGCATCGAGGAGGAAGGGTTTAAAATTTAAACCTAAGACGTATTGGATTGAAGAAGAAAGCCTTAAACTATTATGACAATTCACTACTTGCACTTCACGTATGTATCATTTGTCTAAAGAAAAATATTTGATAAACCACATATGGACAATCATTAATATAACCATATTAATAAAGAAATGCTTTCTAGCTAAAATGGTCTTTAAGATTGACATAACAATTTACTCTGGTCCGTAACAATGAAAGTCAATAGAAGTAGTCCCTGAGTTTGTACACTGTAATCATTTTGGTATGTTTGTGAAAAAATTGTCAATATCCTCACTAAGTGGAAGGGTTGTCTGACAAAAATACCCTTTAAAATGTGGTAACTTGGTCGTTCACGTGATAATTTAACGAGGATATTGACAAATTTTTCACTGAAAGACCCACATGATTTATGCTAGACAAATTCAAAGATCACTTTTATCGATTTTCATTACGAGAGATCAAAGTGAAGAATTATGCCAATTTCAGAGACTATTTTGACAAAAAAAAAAGCCATAAAGAAAACTCGGTACCAAATTCAAGAAGTCATTAACCACCAATTTACTAGTTTTTAGTTGTTGCCATAGTCGGAAGCTCGCCACGACTGGATGATCATCACGTGGGTTAACTGTCGTTCACATCTCTCACCTACTCCTTCAATTAGGCAGACAACACAGAATGTTCAAAGTTTAAACACAATTACTTAAACACATGCAAAAGCCTGCAAAACCATACACAGAGAGAGAGAGAGAGAGAGAGAGAGAGAGAGAGAGAGATATGGTGAAGAAAATAAGTGAACTGTGAGTGGAGGACTTGGTTCTGGCAGGGCTAGCTAACCGTTGAAGACGCCAAGGATTTCGAAACAGTCCTAAAAATATACAATCTCCCGCACGAAAGCAATGGACCCGAAAGAGATATGGCGGCATATAGTGGCTGAGAGATTGCTGAAAGCATCACACACTCATTAGATGCACCAGTTGATCTACTACTCAGTCTATGCCAATTGAGATGCCTTCACCAAAGGCCCTCCTCTCTACTGGTTCCCTTCTTTGTAATTCAATTTTCTCCACTTTCCCATTTTTCTTTTGCCATTTCTTTCTCTGCTGTATTTGATTTCTTTCATTGTTTAATGGAAAATACTTGGCTTGCTTACTCCCTATACTTTATGGAAAAATTTGATGTTAATTCCATAACTCCTCCAGTGTTACAGATATTCTTGCTTTGTTTTTTATATTGTTGTATAGATTTTGTTCCTTTTAACTTGGCATGTGAGGAACGGATCTGAAATCTGTAAGTTGAGTACAAGAGTTAATATGAATAAAATCGGTCAATGGATTAATTCATGTATTATAATATCGAGCATATAAGAGATCAATTCTAATTAATTCAAATATTTGATGCTTCTTTGTATATATATTTTATCGAATGAAATATGACTGTTAGCACATGGAATGACTAAACTTGACACATTTTGGCATAAATGTGTTGATCTTAGAGAAATAATTCTACAGATATGGAATGTCTTCTTGCTTCTGCTTTTTAGTTTTATTCTGAATCCTAACTGAACCTGTTCTTCTCTATTGTAAGATACCAGTCGAGACATACAAACTTGGGGTGATTGATGGAACAGTATGGTTCAGAGCTTTTAGGAACATCATGTAAGGATCCCATAACAAGTTATAGCTTCTCCCAGTAAATTTCTTTTCATAATCCCGAGGTAAGTAGTCATTCGTATCCATGAGCTTTGCCTTACTGCATATGATTTTAATTGAATGAACTGTGTTATTATTCTAGTCCTACTGGTCAGTTGTTCTAAAAGAGCTCTCAGTTTCATTTCGAGAAGCACCAAACTGTATTGAGGCATGAAGGCTGCGATGATGATTCTTTTGTTAATCATATGACATTAAAGGAACTTCGGGAACAAGTAATGTATGCTCTTATTTGATTTCTCTTCTGATTGTTTTTGTGGTTTGTTACATTAGAGAAAATACATCACGTCCAACAATTGTTTTTCAGTGAAAATTTTTCTAAAACTTATCTTCATTCCACTTGTTTAGTCAATCTTGGTAGAGTGCTCTTTTTTTTTTTTTTCTTGTATGCATAATATCCTTGAGCTTTTATCCGTTTGCTGCAGTTGTCTACGACATAATTGACAGGTTGGTGGCTAATGCGCCGGATACAACCTTTTCAACGGGTGATGCAATTGCTATTGACATGTCAATGACAGTCAATAGCAATCGTACTAGCAGGATTTGTTGTTGTCCCATTAGCGGACAGTTTTGCTGTGAACAAAATTGCAACTCTGTCTGCACGCGTAAAGCAAAGGGCGTCTTTATAGGTGAGTTCTGTGACAGGTTAAACCTTGGGTTTAAAGTAAAGGCTAGCAAAGGAAGTAAATTGGATCGCACTGATTATTATCTGCTGGGAATTTTTTATTTGCTAAGGCATACAGATGAAATGTCAGTAGCCTCGAAAGCGCTGAAAATTCATGATATGTTTTTCGCAACTTTAAGCTTTAAATATATTTCTTGCTGGTTTTCATATTTTGTAGTGTGTTTTTATAGCTACTTTTCTAGGAAATGACTTCTACTTTCACTTTGTACTCAGGATTTCATACTAAGAGGAGGTCGAAGGTTTCCTCTCTACAGGTAGATACTACTTCCTTATCACCATGATAGATGCTAACATCTCTCTGCTTTTTCAGAGATTGAAATATCAAAGTGTTAATTATACATACAAATGCTAGTTTAATTGTTACGTCTGTGAATGTTGCTTGTTCATGTTGCAGTCGAGTTGCAGAGGCGGCTACACATTTAGCTACTTCAGCAATTGGAAGCAATGTAGGGATTCAGTTAAGAGAACAGGATCTATCCTGGTATGATTTTCTTTCTCGTGTCGATGACCTTCCAAGGTAATGAGTATACCAACGATATTGATTGGGCCTCTTAAGAGTTTGTTCTGCAATGGAAGAGTTGCCTTGTTTCTCAATCGATGTAGTTTCAAACCAATATCTGTATCCGTGTAACGTTATTCTCTTCTTTGCAGAAAGAACTACTGCTCTCCAGTCTACAGACAATCGATTCCGTGACTAATATTCTCTTTTCATCTGGAACCACAGGTAAGAAGTTGCTTTAAAAAAAACTTTTATTGTTAGCTCTAATTTGTAACCATTGTCATACTTTAATCTTAGGTTCATATTTAGGTGTTTACCAGGAGATCCGAAGGCTATTCCATGACAACTTTCACCAATTAGATGTGCTGCTGATGTTGAATAAGAAGAATATCCAAGATAACTCTAATGGTCCCAAGAAGAAGAAAATAGAGCACTCTTAAAGAAAACTCACAAAACAAACTAATTAGCAAAATTTTTCTTATTTAACTCTAGGCTTTGTTTTTCCTTGGATGATATACAATGCTTGGGGACTTGGGTATTTATAGCAAACCAAATGAAAGTTACACCACACACTTACTTCACCTACAACATCCACCTACTTCACCTACAACCTCCACTTACTTCACCAACCTCACACACTTACTTCACCTACAACATCCACCTACTTCACCTACAACCTCCACTT